CCATCTTGTTTTTTGAAAATAGTGTATTTTGGACATGCTTTGGCAGTCTTTTTTCAAACTTGATACATAGATTATACATGTTAGGATACATGTTCATGACAATTTATTTCGCAATTGGATCAAAGATGGTCAACTGGCAGGCATCTTGTTTTTTGTTTTTTTATGCGGTATCTCTTTATGCGTGCTCTGTCAGTTTTCATTCAAATTTGGCACATACATGTACTTTATGCATGTTAGGATGCATGTTCATGACAATTTGTTTCAAAATCTGGTCAAGGATGGCCGATTGACAGCCATCTGACTTTTTGGCCTTACTACTATATTTCCACAATTTATGTCCCATTTTCATTTGTATTGGCACATACATCATACATATCAGTGTGTTTCATAATCAGATCAAAGATGGACGAATAACGGCTGTTTTTATTTTTGGCCATATTACTACTACACGGAACACGTGTTTTGATGTAAATAAACAATCTGTTGTATACGCCACTTGGAACTCAAGTTTCAAGGACAGGCTCGCGACAACCCCTCTGCTTTAATATGACGAGCACAACGAGAACTTTCAAAAATTTAACGCGGACTGTTAATGCCAGTAGATGCCGGTATCATTGCCAAATTTCCTAAAACAGCATCTGTACATGTACAACGTGCACATAGCTCAACATTCTCTTTATAAAGTAGATACTTTGTTCTTCTTAACTTGGATGATTTGAACTCTGGTAATTTGCACAACAATAATTTTTTTTCCATACAACGTAAGTTAATCTAGGTAATCACACTACCATTCAATATTTATGACTTAATTACGTCATCATTTACATATGGTTTCAGTTTCCAACATCAAATCATTAAACTTATATCGAACAACTTTTTTTTTTTTTTTATGTTAGCTCTGCATTGTAAGATTGTGTTGAAGCTGGAGCTAGGGGGAGAGTGTAGATATATTTCAAGGAAAGTGATGTGATCAGTTACATTCAATTGTGATCAAACTGTTCTCTCACTCTGGTCATTTATTTGTTATCATTGCAAGCAATTTGTATCGGGTATTCGGGCAACGAGATGTGAGGATTGTAATTCTTACCGCCTTTACTACTCTATAGTGCTGACCGCACACTTGACAGAATTTCCCGTCATTATAAAACACACAGCCTGTCATATCATTTATTTATGCAAAGGAGATTAAAAAGTGAGGCGTACAGTAAGGTAAACACTTGACGAGCC